ACTTAGGGCGAGTGGCACGTGGAGCGAGTGGCACGTGCAGCGAGTGGCACGTGCAGCGAGAGGCACGCAGGTTGAACACTCAATGCAATTGTAAAGTACATGTCCAAGTGGGCCAGGTATCTGCTCACATAGAGCAGACTATACTTGCACGCACCCATGACTTTTGGTTTAAAATAACTGGAGGGGGAGGGGAGTCTTATAATGTGGATAAAACAGTATTGATTTTATATCCCTATGTCAATCCACTGCTGGATGAAGGCCTCCCCCACGCCTACATCACTGATGTGTAAGATATAACTACGCCACTGATGTCTAAGATATCGCTCGCCACTGATGCTAGCCATGCCCTGGAATCGAACTCCGTCTGCCGGCGTGCGCGGTGTGGCATGTGCGCTAAACACCGTGCGGCCTCAAACTCATCACAAACGTTGTGAAAACTGTGTCACAGCACTGTTGTTATGAATTGCGAATCGTGAGACGAACACGTGTCTGTTTCATCACGCACACCTATAAATTAGCATTCAAGTCCATACGCCAACAATGTGCCTTCTGGTGTAACGTTTTTATACGACAGTTTCTTCAAGTGGGTAAACTTTGGACCAGGTTTTCACTTTCTGGATCTGAGCGGTGTGTGGCCTGTTTCACAGGTGCTGCATCCCCCCGGTATTCTAGACAAGAGGCCTTTGCCAAATACCGGACACAGTCTGTTCACCACAACAGCAGCATTTGTAGAATAGGGCCACGGTTTGCTGGCGAGTGTGTCGACAATAGAAAGTTGACACTAGTCCAGAAATTTGCTCGCTTAGAACAAATGCCGCTGCTGGAACACATTGGTACAGGAAGCCATTATTTTGGTGCGAGAGCGACACATTATGTCTATGTTATTTGCGATTGTTGTAACAGACCCTGGCTCGGTTTTCTTGAGTTTAACAAGTAGGCTTTCGCGACCAGTGTTATTCATAAAAAAGGTTGTTGGGTTAGATCGCGTTATTTATAAATGTTCCGCAACCCTCCACCACCCGACACGGCCAATCAGTAAAAACTGTGTCACGTTCACAAAAGACAAATAGTTCACTGCTTTAGCCCACCGGTGTGTTTGAAGAGTGAATCCACAACATTTACAATTAGAGCACGACGTTTCGCTGGTAATTACATCCAGCATCTTCGGGCGAATTGCCAGAATAGTGATTATGCTAAGGGATGCGTCCGGGGAGACACACAATTCGATAGCGTGTAAATCGATTGGTGGCCTCGTGGGAAGTCCACGGAGCCAGCTTGCTCGAATTTAGCCAAACGTTTAAAAAGTCTGCTATGGTTATAGGCCATCGGCAGCCGCTGTCTGTAACACTGCCGGGTGAAGGTCTCCCAAGCTGTCGCGATCCCTAGCGGTCGAGCGCTGCACATGAACTCCTGTTGGATGAATTCCATCCTTTGGCTGCCATTCCATCACCAGTACTCCTCCATCGGCCCCCAAGCCCACCGAGCGATGTGTCCTGCTAAAGCGCATTTACTTTCCCCAATATGGTCACCAAGTCTCTCATTTGTTTTGATCCCGAATCTGTATTAGACATTTATTTAGACAGATAATAATTACTAATATTATTCGTGCCTTTTAATACATTTTATTCCATTTGTGCCAATAACATAATGTCAGGAGATGGAGTATTGCAGAGTAATGCATCACCTCCTGTGAGAGAATGGTCAGTGGAAGGAGATACCACCACCAGAACTACGTCTGGGAATCCATTCAAGAGATCTTTCTACATGCCCTGAGTGAAAGGTTCATCTTATGGGACGAGTAGCACCAATATATAATTGTATACAATTGTCAAGTATGTAACTTATCCGTCCTTATTAAAATACAACTTTATCACTTGTAATGCTTTGGTTTAACCCCGAGTGTCGACACATCAGCGTGAGTGAGAGCTGCGGACAGTAGTCCAAAACTCGATCAAGAACCAGGACTGCAGAGGCCTACATTTAACAAACGCGGACACTATGGCGAGGTTTTAATAAAGCCCTTTGTTTTATGGGCTTCATATCTATATGCTGTACTGCAAGAGCAGCAGTATTATCCAACCTTTAAAAGAGCACTACTCTGCTGTTGTTGAGATCAATAAATCAAAGATGATAGCGATTGACATTTGGTGACTTCAAATTTGTGAATAACATGACTTCCTCTCTTGGCATTGGGTAGAAAATGCCGTCACCTTGCACCAGCCTAGGGGGTGTGCGGGTGTGTGCACAGTTTCTGCTGTGAATGGCGACACGATAATGTCCTGTTAATCCACTGCTGGATGAATGCCTCACCCACGTCGTGTCAGAGATAGGATTGGGGGGGGGATTTTTGACCATACTTCACCACGCCGGTTAGTGCAAATGCTGCCGTTATGTTGACTTGTTTGTTACTTAAATTCGTTATCGTGATCTGCATGTTCCACTCCATTTTTCACACATTATTTTCAATGACATACATTTTTTGCAAAAATGTTACCCAAGCCGAGTTGGCCATGGTGGAGGTTGTTTGGCCGTACCTCTCTAAGCTTGCCAGCTGCGGGGGGCTATGGCGAAGTTGAGGAGCGGTGGCACAATGGTTAGCGTAACGTGTCATGAACCCCGTGGACCTGAGTTTGATTCCCAGCCATCTTCTTCGCCTTCTCACGCTTACACCATAATTGAACTGCCAAAAAACACTTTAATTGTAAAGTATACAGTGTAGGTGTTTTAAATGCACGTTGTATAACTGATGTGCAAGACATTTTTTATCTCAATTGCACAAGCCATTAAAATGTCCACCGCAGTACAAATGTTTATAGTTTATTGCTGTTGTCTTCAACTGACGGTTTAAGTGTATCACGGATTCATGGTGCATTATAAAAGAGAGTGAGAGAGATGCATTGCAGAATCGGTGGTCTATAGCTCTGCAAGATCTTAAACCAGCAGTGGATTGGGAATGACAACAGCAAGGGTATGATCCACATACGTCAACTCATCAAATAGCAGGACAAAACATTTTTCTTTTAAACAAATTATCAAATAAATAATGATTACGGTAAATTCATCAACAGATGGGAACGCTTATCGCCGAGTGTTCAGTATGTGCATTAAATATCCTTCACCAAAAAAATTTAAACAAATTACAAGTGTTGCCAAAGGGAGGCGTTTGAAACCCAGACGCAACTTTTAAGGCGAAACCATCGAACAAAGACGGCCACTGCATCGTGCTCTCTCGCGGCCGTCTGGAACGCTTCTTCCTTCCGATATCGGGAAGCCACTGAGCTGTGCACTTTTACATCCGATATATAAAATCATTTCTTGAGTACTGCTTTGTGTGTTTAGTTTGTTGTCCTTCCACAACACCTCCGATTAGCAAGGTTGGCTCCGGACGGTGCGCGAATGAAGTTCTCAACAATACATACTTACAACTTGCAAAAGAGGCAACAACAACAACTAATTGCTCGTTCACTTGTACAACCAGTGACAACTAGCAAGTTCAAGTTCATTTATTAGATATAGCCCTGTGAGCCATTTGGCTCTTGGATCGGGTGCAACCGCAACAAACAAAAAAACAAAAACATGAACAAGCAAAACATCTTAAAGTGACTATGTGACTATGTGCAAACAGAAAATCCAGGGGAAAAAACAGCAGAGGAGGAAGAAGAGTTAGACCAAAAAAAAAAACTAAATAAATAATGGCAATATGTGTGTCCCGAACGCGCTAACAAAAGGTTATTTCACTTGGCTCCCAGCGTGAGAACAGAGGTGACGACACGCGGGCTGCACCTTGCGGGTGGGAGGCGCTGCACAGATGTATCCCCGTAAGCAGCAGCAGCACACACACACACTCACCGCACCGTACATCACAAACCCCCGGCAGGCAAACACCCCGCGACGCGTTATTATTTCTTCGCCTCTCTGTTGTTGAGTTTTTTTTATAAATCTCTCTCTTGTGGGGTGGGAGGGTGGAGGGGGTGGCCATGAGAGCACCTGGGAAAGGTATACATGAGCTTCTCAGGCCCCTGCCGCGCTTTGCAATTTAATGAGCAAATAACTCGAGGCACGTGGGACACTCCCGTGCCCACGTGCTCGAAAGTTTTCGCCCAACGACGAAGCCGCTACACGCCGGGTTTTGCGTTCGTAAGCGGTCGCACACACGCACACACAAGACAAAGATTCCCCCGTATAGCCTTAACCAGATTATTTTTTTTGGGGGGGGGGGTGCAAGTGCTGTTAGCGAGAAGCACCACTCCAGACCACCTCTCTCTCTCTCTGTCTCTCGCTTTCCCCAGCGCCGATATTTACACACCGCACCAGGTACTCATTTGGAGGATGAGTCGAACTAGGGGAAGGACTGGTGACCATGAGCCGGGAATCGAACTTTGGGTGGCCGGGTTGTGAGCGCAGTGTGCTAACCGTTGCGCCACCGCTAACACACACACACGCGCGCGCGCGCACACACGAGCGAAAACATATTTGTGTCTACATGCAGACAATCGCGACGGAGTGTTCGGTGTAAAACCTAACCGTGTCACGGAAGAGCTGGAATAGAAGTGCTTGAAAGGGAGAAAATCCAAGCAGCCAACCCCATGCAAGAATAGAAAAAAATACATTATATGGCGATGCTGCTGATGCTACATTGGCCCTGGTGCATAGCCATAATTAAAGATCTCACATTCGTCAATAACACTGTGGTTTTACAAAGTAAACGAATAAAATAGGCAACGTTGTGTGCAATGCTCCTACTGATTTATGTGCTATGAAGAAGCCCCCCCCCCCCCCCAATCCACAACATCACCTATTACATACTTTTCCTGATAAAGGCCAAAGTGTTATTGACGCATGTGCAGAGTTTTTAGTTATCCAGGCAAATTATTTGGATTTTTAGCAAAGGAGAAGTAGTTCTAGAAGGGCTAGCACACTGAAAACTTAACACAAATATAATATAGATGAGTGTTTGTTCATTTAAAAAAAATTCAAATAAGGCTCCCCAAAAGTTACTTTTGAGAGTTTTATTGGTTTCACTCACCGGGCGGGTTAAGAAGGTCGTCCCTTTAACAACGCTTCAAAATCTCGTGCCAAAACACTTCCAAATACACAAACCCCATTATCAGTAAACCAAGCGATCGGCCTCCTGTGGAGGCTAATTATCACTTAACGCGTTTCCTTTCGCACTTCATCCTGTTGGCTGTCTGAACCGTGTTTATCCGCCAGCATTTGTCTAAACAGACAAAACTCTGGACTGGATTTGACCTCCGTGGTCGCATCAGCAGAGTCAGGCTGGGTGTCGTCAGTTAGGGCCTTAGCACACATACACTCACAAAATCATACATCTATAATACTCATTATGGGCTGCTATAGAGCATTCATCATCATCATCAGCAACAGTGATGGTCAATCCATTGCTGAATGAAGGCATCTCTCGCGAGGCTGTGATGTGATGATAATCCACATGGCACCTGCACACGAGCCGATGTCATCTTCACTCCATCTGCCCACTATCCCACACGCTCCATTCTCTGTCGAGCGCTCCGCCACCAGCCTTGACCATCAGCCATCATCTGTCCTGCCCCGTTGTTGTGAAGGTTCACGCGTAACAGACTCACCCTTTTTTCTGGCCCGCACAAAAAAAACAATATACATGGTGTTATTTATACATATATACGCCTTTTGGCGTCCTCTGGTCTAACACCGTTTTGAGACTAGACTCAAAAGAAAGCTGTCTTTGATGTGGACCAATCAGTTTCAAAGACAATGCATATATTACACTGGTCAACAAAAAAAATCTGGCCTGGAATTTTGCAGCTGTTTTAGACTAATTTCAGGGTGCTGATTCCAAATCTGATCTCAGATTTGCTCAATCACATAATTTTTATGCTATCGGCATACCCCATTTTCATTGATTTTACCCGAAATTAGCTCTGTCACTTATGATTGCAAGTTTTGCGAGTCAGTAACTGCTTTAGTGTTAAAATATGGTGCTGTATTTTTAGGATAGTGTGTTTATAATACCATTTTATGTAGATATCCACATTTATTTAATATTTTTCTTCTGCAGTTTTTATTGAAAATGCAATATTCGATATCTCAAAAACCTGATGCCAGATTTGGAATCAGCACCCCAAAATTACATTACAACCGTTGGAATACCTTATGCCAGAAAAAGTGTGTTGACCAGTGTTGTCAGAGTATGTTTTTTTTTTTGCATTCTGACCACAAGTACTGTGGTTAATGCAGACATGATTCCTAGTAAAAGGTTTCAGTTTGGTGTTTTAACATCTTAACACCTGTTTTGTTGCCAGAAAAAAAGGGGAAAACCTATTCTCATATATGAATATTATTAGTTTTATTCCATCAACCTCTCAGCCTTCAATACCAAATCCCACTTCTAGCCATCATCGCGTACCCCGAACGGTTACAACTGACATCCACCCACCGACCTGGAACATGCGTTTAACTGACGATCAAATTTTTTTTGTAATCGATTTGCTTACCATTCCCTATACTTTGCGCTCCCGTGTCTTTTCTATCGTTTGTTTCTGTCACTTTCTGACCCGCCCCTACTGGGCATCTGTGGGGGGGGCGGGGGCGGGGGGCATAAAACAAAAAGCAGCTTTATAGCTCATCGGATTCCTCTGGCATGAATCAAAATTCTGATTCTCTTTTTCTACACCTTCACTGCACCCCCCCCCCCCGACCTCCCCTCCGCCTCGGAAGCCCTGTCCCCGAGTCCTTCTCTCACACAACAATTCACGAGTCACGGGAGAATTCGAGCCGACCTTCCACCTCCCGCCCCCGCCCAGCTCAGCTCATCCCCAGGGGAGCCAGCCACGACCCAAGTGGCCCAGGTGTCTGGCCGCTGCATTTGTAAGGAGGATGCCGGCGGATATGACGCATGGGGAAAGGATTTTGTTTGCGTCGTCGGCAACTCGCACGGATCGGCTGCTCCTGTGTGTGTGTGGGGGGGGGTGGGGATGGTGGTCACGAGATTTCCACGAAGTTTTCCCACGCCACCTCTCAGCGTGTGGAAGAAGAAGAACCACACACGCACGGCCAAGCAGTGTGGGCAAGATTAACATTCTCCGATTAATGCGACCATACCCGGCCCGCTCACCGCCCGGGTCCCGTCCCACCGCTCAATGTGGCTTCATTACATTATTATTATTTTGTACATTAATTGGGAGTTTGTACAACAGAAAAGCTTAAACTACGAGAATATGTTTCTTGTTACCGAGCGTCAGCAATATTATGCAAGTGCGGGGCTTGGGGTTGCGACTATTTTAACCGGCTGTGATGAAAACGATGATGACTACGAGGGTAGCGATGAGATGAACATTCATGAATGGACGAGCAATTGTTGATGAGCGTGATAACAATGACGATGATGGGTTCATGAGTGGTGACAACGAGGATGATGTTCACAAAAACAACGAGACGATAATGACAATGACGATGTTCATGGCAGGGTATTAATAGACTACAGTATTTCAATGAATGCATTAATACTGACAATCAATTGATCATTTTGATGATTATGACGGCAGTGATGATGATGATGATAATGGAGGCTCGACAATGATGATCAGTCGATGATCAATCATTGCACACGAAGACAAACACAAAGAACCCACCCCATTTGTACATCCTGAACAGATTATTGGAGCAAGTGCTGTTAGCGAGCAACTACACACACACACGTGCTACAATGCACAAAGCCAGCTTGCCACAAGTCTGCACCCCACTTATACTCAATGGCAAGGGCAGTGACTCTACAGCTCTTTGGTATAGTGCCCCCCCCTCCCCATCAAGAACAATTGTCCCGTGCCACCCCCCGCCCTCCGAGCCTCAGAAAAAACTATCAAGGTTACGAAAGGCTAAGTACAGAGACCACTTGTCCGTGCGTCCAGTTAAAATGCGGCGTCAGTGAGGCATGTCTCGTGTTGTGTATTTAGAGAGTTGCCGTGCTCTGTATTAGTAAGGCAACTCCGATTAGCACGGATGGCTACGTACGGTGGGACAGAAGTTCAACGTACATCCGTTGTGTATCCGGTGTGTTGCGTCAACACAATGTCAAACATTGTCCTGCACGGTATCCACGCCAAAGCCTCTTCCGTCCTTCCCCCCCGCCCCTTCCCAGCAGGGCATTCCCAACAGCTTGAGAATCCGCAAGGGAAACGCGCAAGCGATCTCCGATCTGTCTGGCAAAGCAGGTGGAGCGCTCGGCAAATACGTAAGCAGCCTTAAACACCACATTGTAAACGAGACTAAAGCTATTTGGTTATTTTACTTACTATTTTCAATTACCAGGTTAGGCACCACTGGGCTAGATATATATCTTTCTTTTCGGAAGCGACCTGGTCACGAATAATAACTCAATGAAGTGGCTTATCACGTGGAAATGTATCACAGCCAAATACTCTAAACGCACTTTGATTCTACATGTGGAGGGTAAAACCCGCAAGACCCGGAGAAAAATCTACGCGAGCACGGCGAGAGGATAGAGGCATGCAAACTCCAAATGCACAGCAGGCGTCAGTGTTGGGATCGAACCCACGACCTCCTGTATACCAGGCGAGGGAGTTAACATCTCGCAACCGCGATGATCATGAGAGAGAGAGAGAGACCGTAAACTCCAAATACACAGCAGGCGTCAGTGTTGGAATCGAACTCACGACCTCCTGCATACCAGGCGAGGGAGTTAACATCTTGCAACCGCGATGATCATGAGAGAGAGAGAGAGACTGTAAACTCCAAATACACAGCAGGCGTCAGTGTTGGGATCGAACCCACGACCTCCTGTATACCAGGCGAGGGAGTTAACATCTCGCAACCGCGATGATCATGAGAGAGAGAGAGAGACTGTAAACTCCAAATACACAGCAGGCGTCAGTGTTGGGATCGAACCCACGACCTCCTGTATACCAGGCGAGGGAGTTAACATCTCGCAACCGCGATGATCATGAGAGAGAGAGAGAGACTGTAAACTCCAAATACACAGCAGGCGTCAGTGTTGGGATCGAACCCACGACCTCCTGTATACCAGGCGAGGGAGTTAACATCTCGCAACCGCGATGATCATGAGAGAGAGAGAGACCGTAAACTCCAAATACACAGCAGGCGTCAGTGTTGGAATCGAACTCACGACCTCCTGCATACCAGGCGAGGGAGTTAACATCTCGCAACCGCGATGATCATGAGAGAGAGAGACCGTAAACTCCAAATACACAGCAGGCATCAGTGTTGGAATCGAACCCATGACCTCCTGTATACCAGGCGAGGGAGTTAACATCTTGCCACCGCGGCTCCCCATTCTCAGAGGACCCTCCCACCCACCCCATGACAATGATTCTCACGACACCGACCGAGAGGAGAGAGTGACGCGCGGATGAGGGATGCAGTGAGGAAGTGACTGGATGGAGCGAGGGAGGACACGGACACCTGCCTCCCACGATACGACTGCAGAAGAGCTGCTGGGGGAGGGGGGAGGGGGGAGACGATTGGGTGGTGCCGGAGGAGTCACAGACATCGGAATCGCGAGGCAGGGAAACGCTGGGAAAGTTCACGGGCGGGAGTGAGCGACGGGGTGAGAGCGAGCGAGTGAGGGAGCGTTAGCACCGCGCTGGTGTGCAGACGACGCGATGCAATGACACGTGTCCCCCTCTCCCATCTCTCTCGTGCATTCCCATGCCTCGCCCCGCATCCCAAACGATGCAGCCCCCCACCCCCCACCACATCCCCAGAAAGTCAGCAGAGCCACAGGGGGAAGCGCCGAGTGAGGGGCAGGTGGCGTCCGACGACATCTCACGAGGTACTGCGGCGTCTGACGGCATTCTCCACGTGACGCACGAGCGAATATTTACGTAATAGCAGAGGCGAAGAGCTTCATTGCTCATCGGATTCCTCCGGTGCAAATACATATTCTGATTTGAAAGTTCCCCATCCTTCAACCCTCCCCTCCCCCGTATCGCCTTTAACAAGACTGATTGGGGCAAGTGCTGTTTGCGAGCAGCTATTAAGGGCCGCCACGGCACACGAGGGGGTGGGTGGCCGTGCACCGCATCAGGTCGCCTTGTCCCGCACTGCTGGTACCAAGTACACATTTAAGGTTGATTCGACCTAGGGGTAGAGGTCCATACAGGACCGAATCAGATGTCACTCGGCACTGATCTTGGCAAACTCGGGCCACAGAGTTCGTAGCGCTCATCGCTTACACTTACTCCACACACGCATAACGAAGATAAAGATACCCCGTATAGTCTGTAGCAGACTGTTGGGGCAAGTGCTATTTCGCGAGCACATATGAAGACCGGCACGGCACACGAGGGGGTGGGTTGCCAACACCACGCCAGGCTGCCTTTGTCTCCGCAGCGGTGATGTTTACACATAACACCAGATACTAATTTGAGGCTGAGTCGACCTAGGGGAGGCCCATGATCAGTTCAGTATATAGCGCTAACCGCTACGCCACCGCTCCCCCCCACACACACACATCATAAATCACATACATATGCAATCACAGGGACATGATAGCACGCGTACGGTGTATAAGCAGACAAACTAAATGGTCGTACATCTCCTATTGTACATGCACATGCATAGCATTGCTAAGCACAAGACCATCCAAAGGCCCAAAGATGACACGCAGCCAGTAACGAACGGCACTATTGCAAGCTATAAAAGAAAAGGAGTTCGTAAGTTACCTGGTATTTAGAGCTACGTTGTGTTAAAACACTCGGGGAATAGAGGCCATGGTGGGGGGTGTAAACGAGACGGGCAGTTTGAGCGATTCGTATTTCTGATCTTCGACAAATGGATTTAGAAAAAAAAGATTTACTTTCGTACAAAAGACTTCATCAGGGAGTGTGTGAATAGCACATCTGAATCGGGGAGTCAGAAAAGACGAGGCTTTTCCAATGCACTTACACAAGGCCATTTACAATGCATAGACAACACGCCCCTTCCCTTATCGTCCCATGTGCAATGTGTTAATGCTTCATTCCTCCCAGACCGCCCCCCCCAACCCCTCCCCGCCAAAGCGCTGCATTCATATTCATCAGCATTATTATTATGAAGAGGACGACAATTCATGTGGAACAGCGAAGGACGCTCAGGGGAGTGGCATCTGCATCGACTTCCTTCCGCGAGGCTCTCCCTCCTGCCCTTTCAGTTGCCAAAACGGACGGGAGAGGAATTGCAGACGTTTTACAAAGAAAACTGTATTCCCTGGAAAAATTGGAAGAAGAAAAAAAATATATAATGCATTTTTTAAAACTATATATTTAAAAAAAACGATCGTCATCGCACGTTCGTATTTATTTCGCTCGCCGGATGCGTGGCGGTCCTAAAAATTTGTTTCGTTTATTAAAACTGGAAATTTACAAAGTAGTTAGTTTGCAATGGACGTCGTGGAGAGAGAGATAGAGAGAGAGATAGTTATGCGTTTCGGATGGAGTCACTTGAACAAAAAAGTGGTGACGGGTTTTAATTAAATACTTTTGTTATTCAAATCTACGATGCCCATTTCTAGCGCCTCACTCGAGACCCTGGCTTTGACAATTCTTCCCCTCTAAGACACCAGTGGACCCATCAACCGCCGACAGAACATCAACAGGCCGATTGAGCACATCTCCTGCATGAAGAAAGTCCACGAGCAGTGCGACTTTGGCCATGCAACCCAAACTATCGACCAGAACAAATCACCGATGGCTGCAAAGTTTGGTCGCACATGTTATATATATCGTTTATTGTTACATTTTAATCACAGTTCCTATGATTACTGTTGTTACCTTGTTTTTATAGCGTTATTTTGGTGATTTCGAAAACATATGGGTAATCTAAATTGTATTATGGTTGTTATTGTTTGACTTGCATAACACTGGGATTTTTGCACACAGCGGTTTTTTTGTGTGTGGAAGATTTGCTGGTTTATCCAGGATGTTTCTGTTGCGCGTCGTCGCTTTGAGATGTTCTCCGTTCATATTTTGTTTGTTGCGGTTGCACCCGACTTAAGAGCCGCACGGCTCACAGGGCTACACCTAATGAATGAAACTTGAAACCGATGTTCTTGTGCTCATTCTATAGACGAGGAGCAAAACTACGCAACAAAAAAAACTCTCTCCCGAATCCATCTGGTGGCTATCGGACCGCGACATTTGCATTTAGCTCCAGAAAATATTGCCAAACGCAACAAGTTAATGTTTTTCTCTTATTCCAAAAAATCCATACGGTTAGAAACATTTTGTAAAGTAATAAAAACAATCCACGAGAAGGAAGTACGCTTCATTCGTCATGTCTGTTTAAATACAGAACACGTGGTTTTATGAGCGATGAGAATAAAAGTATTTTTTTGTTAATCAATTTTTCACGGATCACAAATATGAACCACTGAAACTACTGGTCTCGTTCACACCCCCCCCCCCTCGCCATCGTCGTCTCTATTCCCCGAGTGTTTAACACAACGTAGCTCAAGCCCGCCCAGGTAACGTACAAACTCATTTTCTTTTATAACTTTCAATCGTGCTGTTCGTCGTTAGCTGCATTTCATTTCTGGGCCTTCGGGTGCTTAGCAAGCGTGATTTTCAAAATAAAAGGATCTCAGGTTATACGTGAAGGCAGACCGGGATCAGAATCTATACATCTTAAATCAGATCAATCCTCCCGTAAACCACGTGACATGAATGACCACGCCCACTCCGAACCCTTCCCCTCTCCCCGCCCCGCCCCCTGTGAAAACAGACGCTGCTCCATGCAGCAGCATCAAGGCCCTTACTCAGCATCTATCTTCGCATCATCATCTCGCCTGACCCTTTCCTCCCATTTTGCTGTTCTTTTTAAATCCTTTATATTAAGTTCACTTGCGTGCTTGCTTGCTTGCTTACGACCGTGAAAATTTTTCGGTCGTTTTTTAACCCACTTCCCGTGATCCAATCGAGCTGACATTTTGCACACAGACTCGTTGTGCGTGACAATGTATTTTCGTGAAAAAAAATGTCCAAAATTTTGCACTTTATAGGAAAAATAAATTATATTTAATTACCAATTCCTTAAAGGTGGCAGGCAATCATCTGACCCATAGGTGGCAGCCATCTCAAGCCAGAGGACAAGAGGACTCTAGCCGCCCGTTTCAAAGACCAATGTGGGCTGGGTTGTGTCCCATTGAACACGCATATAAAGGATTTATAGTGAAAAACGTTGTTTTTACGGGTTTATTTTTTCCCATTCTTCTTCTCCGATTTCTCATTTCTCTGTCTTCCTCTCCTCTATTTTTCCTTTCGAATAACTTTTTATATTCCCCATCCCTGGCTCTACACCCCCCCATCCCGTGGTGCGTACCCGCGGGGTACCCAGCTGCTGGTGGCTAACTAAACAGAGGCAAACTACAGTGGGTTTTGGAAGTGCTTTTGGAAAACTGAACTTGATAATGGAAAAAAACAACATCAGCAATGTGTCTGAAGATGAATAACCATTGTGTGTGTGGGGGGAGGGGGGGGGAAACAATTTCCAATGGTCTGTCTTTAAAATGTAACACTATATATATTCACCCGCCCACCCGCCTCTTTCTTCAAATTCAAAATTCATAGTTTTCCTGAAAACCCAACTGAGAGAGAGAAAGAGAGATTTACTACTCTGCTCGCAGCTGAACCATCGATGCGGCGCCCACGTGCGCAAAGCGATATTTTCTGGAAACATTTATTAAAGCAATCTCCGCCGTTCCCACCAGCACGGCGAAGGAGGGAAACCCGAGAAGGCGTCCTGTGCGAGATGGCCGGCTGGAAACAGACACGCGGCTTGGATATCTTCAAGTGCGGCAGCGCACACACGCCGGTTGATGACACAGCGACACCGCACGCACGCACGGAATTCGTGGGTTTGATTTCTACGGTTGTGCCGGATGGCGGCTCTCCTCCATCGCGTGCTGTCCGACGTTTCGCCAGCCACCCTGAAGAAGCGCTCGAACACACACATCGGAGAGAGCAGTACACCGTGACTGCGAAAAACAACGGAAAGTTTCGTGCGGACACGAAGAAAAATGTGTGTCAAGAGCACGGGGATCTCAAATTGCTTTGTAGTTCTGATTGCTTAGGTCACCGTCAAATTACAGGGCCACAATTCTGATGTGTTTTTAGCTACACATGCACAGAAGCTGGGTGCTTTCCACCCATGTCCGCGTGTCGTTTGAAACAACTCACGGTTTTTCCCAGCCCTTACTGTTATTTTATCTTACGGTTTTTTTTATTACACATTTGATTCCGGTGGAGGGCGGTCGGGGGGGGGGTAGCGAAAAGAAACGAACAAAAACGATGCAGTAAAAATCCAGAGGCTCCCTTATTGCACTTGCTTGCCAGCTTGTATATGTTTTAGAAGAGACTCCCCCCCCCCTGCCCCATCCCCACTGCACTGCTTCCTCCTTCGACGAGTCCTCCAACATCTTAGGCCACCCCCCTCCACTCCGCACATCCCCGACACTCGCCTGCGCTCCGCTAATAAGGGACAGCCCTCGTGGACCAGGCTGGCTGTTTAAGCCATCGCTAAAACGCCACCCATTTGTTAAAGCGACTGGCCTGCTGGTCCCGGTGAGGGCAGCAGTGGTGGCAGCGTGGGTCAAGCCTCCGTGGAATGTTAGCACAGTGGGGGCTGGAGTGGGCAGTGGGTGGGGGAGAAAGGGGGCGCAGTGAGAGAATGGGGGTGGTGGTGGTGGTGGTGGTGCAGCTGGAGAGAAGACACGTTGCTGACCTCTAGCTCTCTGAACGAGACCAGGGAGGTAACGGAGAGAACGTTTTACTCACGCACCACCACACACGACCCCCCCCCCGCCCACTGCCTCCCGCCCGTTCGGGCAGGCGCTTAAGGAAGGACATTAATAATAAAAAAAACAATTTTGTTGAAGACAGAATTCGACTGAAGGGTAGCCCGTGTCCTTTTCTCATTTATCGGGATGATTTGCTAAAACGGTTGATTGCTAATGACAAAGCAAAGCTAATTGTGTATTAGTTATATAAAAAACAAGACAATCACCATTAATTCTAGATTTGAAGCTTTCGTGACTGCAAGGATTCATACTGTTAGGTTTTTTCGGTAAAGTCACGTAGGTAAAAAAATAAAATTAAAAGTTAATAAAAGAAATAATGGAAATAAAATAAAATAATAAATCACGACGTTTCGGAGGCAACACAAGTCTCCGTCATCAGGTGGGACCGTCACAGCTAAAATTACTGCATCACTTGATGCTAAAATTACTGCATCACCTGATGACGGAGACTTGTGTTGCCTCCGAAACGTCGTGATTTATTATTTTATTTTATTTCCATTATTACTTTTATTAACTTTTATTTTATTTTTTTTACCTACGTGACTTTACCGAAAAAACCTAACAGTAAAACAATCACCAGCTCGTGAGAGTGAAAAAAGGAGTGCTGATAAAGTGGCAACCGCGCGTGCCCCGCAAATATTAGGCGTGTCTTTTCGTACCAGATGCTCACTCTGCCTTATTTTATATATATATATACAAAGGAAGGTCACAGACATTATTTAAAAAAAAAAGTGTTTTCTACATGCTGACAATAATCAGTAAGTGTTATTAAAATCGTAACGAGAAAAAAATTGCCAATCTAAAAGCCAACTAGTTCCTTTGAAACCTGCTGCCAAATATGATGTATATCTGTATTGTTAGCACATCTAGTAAGTGCAGATCATTGTCACCGATGGATGTTCCACGGGGGCTCGAAGGATTAAATTTGACACAAATACTGTTGTCGATTGTTCGCTTGTGACGATAACATTCAGGAAATCGTTGTTTCTATGTTTGGGGCACCAAAATTAAGGTCTGGGTGGAGGCTCATTAGTTTAAGTCATCGTGTAAGACCAGCCAAACGTTCTAAATAGCTTTAAGTGTTGCGCTAAACACTTAATAAATGTGTACGATTTAGATTATAATGTAGTTATTTCAATAGGAAGGAACAAATAAGCTGTTAGGTAAAATTTCACGGGCATCCTGTGACGGTACAGATGTTCATACCGCGGAGATCTTAGTTACAATCATAGTCAGATAAATATCGATACAAGCAGGTTTTACTTGTCGCAAGAATAAAGGATTGGTCGATACCCATCTTCAACAAACCAAACAATGAACCTTTTATCTTGTGAGTGCACCAGTAGATCCGATTGTAAGCAATAGAAAGCAGTGACTACCGGTTACGAGTATCGTGTATACATGATGATACTCCAGAAACACATTCTAAATGACACGAAATAAAAAAAAAACGTAACATCTAAAGCACAGGAGCCATACAACTATCCGTCATAATCAGCGTGGTCGTGTTGTGACAACCTAATCAGGTGCAAAAATGTACCCAAAAGGGAGATAAATAAAATTTTTTTTTTATCCATCGCCGTACGCACGTCAACCGAGCGTGCGCTGCTCCTTGCAAAATCTCCCAGCCACCTGCAGTCAAGCCCGGCGCTCCGCAGGAATCCCTTTAGCACAACCCATGGCCTCGGCCACAGCTGCGGAGGAATGAAGGGAGGTGTGCACGAAGCGCACCGAACTCAGTGACTGATCGCGCGGCAGATGTTGCATTCCTCTCGTTGTTTGCAGCCGACCAGACCACCTGGTTCTCAGGTGTGTGTCTTACTCCCTCCTCCATCACCTCCTACATCATAACCTCCTCCTCCTCTTCCTCCACAACCTCCACCACCATCTCCATCATCACCTCCACACCTACTCCTCCTCATCCACACCTCCACCACCTCCACCACCACTTCCACCATCACCTTCTCCTCCACCACCACCTCCACCACCACCATCTCCATCACCAACTGCACCGCCTCCACCACCTCCACCACCACGATCTCCATCACCACCTCCACACCTACTGCTCCTAATCCACACCTCCACCGCCTCCTCCACCACTTCCACCATCACCTCCTTCTCCTCCACCACCACCTCCACCACCACCATCTCCATCACCACCTCCACCGCCTCCACCACCACCGCAAACAATCCACGACAAATGCATCAACTCGTCGTTCAAGGCGCGCACGTTCCTCCATTGCGACCGCAACGGCGGCGGTATATTGTCGCGTTGTGTGCGCGTTGTGTGCGCGTTGTGTGCGCGTTGTGTGCGCGTTGTGTGCGCCTTGAACTTCTATTGCAAACCTACGTAGCCAAGCGCGCTAATCGGAGGCGCGTGCATGAACGTGGGGCCGTGACGCTATCTGCAAGAGGTGGGGGGAGGGTGGTGGTGGTGTGACGCCACTGCGTACCGGCATCTAAGTCGCAACTTGGAACGCGGATCGCAATGTCGGGAGACGAGACAAGACGGCACACAGCAGCGCCTGCTTGCAGAGGTTGGGTGGGTGGGTGGGGGGTGTCGGATTGGAGGTATAGGCGGATGTGTGTGTGCGTGTGTGTGAACGTGACCGGCACGTGAACGGGAGGGACATGCGAACACCTGTAAGGAAGAAAAAAAACCGACGGTTGACGCACGCAACCAAACCGTGCACGAACGGGTTACCGGGTCACGTGGAGAGCGCGCAAACTCCTTTGGACGCCGGCGGTTGGCGATAGACGTCAAACTGCGCTCGATAGACGCGAACGGGTGGCGGGCGAGGGACAATGTACGGCGCGAAAGAAGTTCAACGCAGAGCAGAGGTACATGATGTAAGCGAACGACGAGACTGCACCGGGTGTGCGAGCGGCTCATTGAGCAGGGTGGATGGGCACGTGACGGTCGGATATTCGAAGTCGTAGATCGTGGTCCAGATGTCTTGTGACCACCCCCCCCCCCCCCCCATTAATTTACACCTGACATTTTTTACCCTTTGCATATTAATTTCTGTTTTTCAATAAACCTTACTTTAAAAAAATATATTAAGTTTTAGATAATTAAAATAGGGGGGGGGGGGTAACAAGACATCTGGACCACCTTGTACATAACAAATAAAATGTAACAGACTTCACTACAATTACCTGGCTCTGCCTTTTGGGGTGGGTGCGAATCTCATTGAGCTCTCACCTGGTTAAATAAAGGGGGACGGGACGGGGGGGGGGGGGGGAAACACACCTGACCTGTTTGTGTATCACAATATCTGGACTTCAAACCCACCTGGATAAACAGCGGTATTGATGCAATATTATCTCAGGACACGCTGCACGTGCTGGTTGCATTGCATGAGCAGTTGGGGCATTCAAACACGGTCAGAAGTGACCGAAGAATGTGACCCCCCCCCCCCCCCCCCCCCACGGGCACAATAATGCACACGAAATCACTGAGCCCTTGCAGGTAACGCGTGCAGGAGGGCTGTATTTGTTTAATGTTAAACATGTACAATGTATAACTTGCGCTGAAGTCACTTTAGCGGCGAGTCACAAGAGAGAAGGTCAACTAAGGATAAGATCGGCAATCGACTTTTATGATGTTGTTGTCGTTGTTGTTATTGTTGTTCTTCTTGGTTCTTTCGGTAAAGTCACGTAGAAGGGAAATAATAAAATAATAAAAATAAAACATAATAAAATTATTCTCACGACGTTTCGGCCACAACGCAAGCAGCCGTCCTCAGACGCTGTCTTCCCGACAGACCTGTTCTTCACCTGAGGACGGCTGCTTGCGTTGTGGCCGAAACGTCGTGAGAATTATTTTATAATGTTTTATTTTTATTATTTTATTATTTCCCTTCTACGTGACTTTACCGAAAGAACCAATAAGATGGATCCCTGCAGTCACGAAAGCTTTAAATCGAAGTTGTTATTGTTGTTAGTGGAGCAGGACAAATCAAATAGAACTGGGCAGGGCGCGTCGTGTGAACAGACCAAATCAAGTGAGGGGGTGGAGACTCAGAGAAGGGGAAGAGAAGCGATTGGGAGACACGAGACGGGGACACAGAGTCGTAGAGTTTGGAAGCCATTAATGAACAAGAATAACTGTGGAAGAGGCCTTTGTCACGAAGTGGGAGAGAGGGGGGGAAGGGGTGACATGCACACGACTTATATTGCTGAAATGTATGAACAAATATACATTACTGCTATCTTTACACCTATCAACCTTTCGATAGCACTGCTTACCTGACACCTAAACGCCAGTGCCGCCCTTACTGCGCAGGTGTTGAAATGATGGCAATTATTTAATTTTTAATGCATCTATACATGGGAGGAAGTGAGAGGACGGTGGGTTGGTTGGGATGGGGGATTGGAGACACGTGGACAACAACAACAACAAAACACTTAAACGCGTTGCAAACGATTGTGAACGGGCGGCAGTTTGATTTTAACTTGAAACTCCCCCAAACAGGTGAAAAACGACAAGCTGCAACAATGGATCACAGTGGACACCGCAAGAGGGCATGCCAGACGACTCGAACTAAAGTGTAAATCTTCATGAACGCTTTGCACGTGCAAAGTAAGTGATGGCTAAAGCTCCTGCAAGTGTTCAAAAGTCGTTCAGCCACAGCAGCTTTCCGTTTTTGTGTTTAATAATCATTTGCAATTTGTCTGGAAGAATTAACATCAACCGAGGAGCATTCCCCAGGCGCGAAACTCGAATTTCCTCCTTCACAACCAAGCCACCCAGAGTCTCCCTCTCGCTCGCTCGCTCACTCACGTGTTCAAATCTACAGAAATCGCTCAGCGAATGAAAGCACTTCCTGTTCGTACAGAAGAGTCCTTCTGAGGGTGGCATGGAGCCAATTCTGCTCGGCAATAGATCGGCCCTGTTTGACCCCAAAAACGCAATTGGCTTGTGACACTCTCGACCACAAGACAGGCATTTTAGACCAGCGGTTGGGCATTTCATATCAGCGCTGTGGCGAGGGACGTGTTTTATTCGGGCAGCCTCACTCCTACTCTGCAATCGGCAAGACAAAATTAAAGCAAACAGCAACAAAATCGTCGAATTGTGAAATCGGGGAGGTGCATCTTGACCCTCTCCACCAAGGCACCGTCCGGGGATTTCACAGGTTCAGATCTGTCGTGACACTGGCCTAACCTCGCCTTCTACGACGCGATGGAACGTGGGATCACTGGTTGGTGTAATGGGCCTTCGTGGTCCTACGCACTTGTGGTGATGGTGATGAAGAGTCAAGACGTTTGGTGGAGTTGGTGGTACAGTGGTTAGCGCAGCAGACTGTGCTGCGAACCCAGCAAAGCCGAGTTCGATTCCAGGCCATGGCTAACTTCAGTGGCTAGTAGTACCTGAATCGGTCCATATCAAATGGGACCCTCCAGAGCGTTACAAAATAGTTAATACCTCGAAATACGAACATTCGATATACGGGGTTTGAGTATTACCAACTTTGTATTTGTTAAATGCACTTATATTTACACTTTAATATTTAATAAGGTTATTCATCCATCAACAGTGCTATATAAATAATAATAACATTATAATAAAGGGCCGTCCATAAATGACGTCACGCGATTTTGGACGATTTTTGACCCCCCCCCCCCTCGTCACACGGCGTCGCAAAAAGTCAGACCCCCCCTCAAGTATGACGTCACAAAGCTCTGCCCCCCCCCCGTCCAAAAAAAAATAAAACATGCTTCAAATCGCTTTGAACTATTGTCATTGTAGTGCGTATTTTATGTGGCGCTGCACTCTGATGTTGTCGGAGAAAACATTTATTAAAAAGTCTATTTAATTAAGTAGAACGTGTTGTCTATATTTATTTAAAGTTGCGCATTTTGATGTGACGTCACATTTCTCACCCCCCCCCCCCGTCCCTCGTCACACATCGTCACAAATGTCTGACCCCCCCCCCACCCCCCTAGGTGCGTGACGTCATTTATGTACGGCCCCTAAGACAGGGATTCTTAAGCGTTGCGCATCGCGATGGTCAGAACGTGTGTTTTGCATTCGTCTCGGCCAATCAGCGCACTATGTAGGAGCTATGTATGTCGCGTTTGGAGTGCATTGCAACCCTCACGACTGCACCCACGACGACACTGATTGCATGTGAAGATAGTTTACAATACGCCGTTTCTCTTATGTCTATCAATCTTGATTTGAAGCTTTCGTGACTGCAGGAATCCATACTCTTTGGTTCTTTCGGTAAATTCACGTAGGCATAAAATTAAATGAATCACGACGTTTCGGGCGCAACACCATCATCAGGTGGGAAAGCATGGTCTGCTGCTGAGGCAGACTGTTTTAAAAGGTTTGAAATGGGTGTAGCTCAAGGGTCATAAAGAAATAGCCGGGGCTAGTGATGTTAATGTGGGAAATTAGCATATAACTATGGAAATCAGTTTTACAGTTTAACACCGTACAGCCTAAATCTAATATTACTTTCAATATTAATTGTATATATTTAGAATATTAAATGGTAACTTATTAAGTGTTTTTTATAGTATGAAATGGTAATTTACGAAGTTTGGGAACGTATCTGCACAGTACTAATGTTATAAGTTATTCAATATACGAAGCTCCAGAAACGCATCTACTTAGTATATCGAGATATTACTCTAATCTATTTTATATTTTTAAAAATACAATTTAGTTTTAATGGGATACAGTACTGCAATTAGTATTCATTAGACGTCATAGCGATTATATGACGTATAGTTTGACTGTGATCACTCTCAGTGTATACAGTGGCAGCGTGTGGGTTTTATGCGTTATAGATTGCAAGATTGCTTATGGTAAGAAGGCTTCGTAGTCAAGCAGACTGCAATGTAGGGGACTTGTGTAATTTGTATCCGGCCTAGGGAAGTCGATCATATACCAAGGCGATGCCAATTAAAATACATTCAAATATATC